ATATAACACAATAGCTGATGTTCAACTACTGTTAGTCCTTTTTCTTCTCTCATATCCCAATTCCTAAACTTTCAAGTTATTTTTGTTCTCTCTTTGGCTTATTCATGGTGATTAGGCAGAAGATTATGCACACATTTATGAATCATTAATAAATGAAAAAATATATCTAGAGAATACTGATGGATGTTGAAGATGATGGAAGAGGGGTGGAAGGTGGAGGAGTCGCTGTATAATATTAACTTCTTTGTTTTTATGTTTGGTTGGTACTTACAAAATCCAAATCCATATCATGGTTTTCTTTATGTCTACACTAGGGCATATAGGTGCTGTTGGAAAAAAAGTCACATAGAACAGATGGAGGAGTCTCTGTATAATATTAACTTCTTTGCTTTTTATGTTTGGTTGGTACTTACTTGTCAAAGTCCAAATCCATACCATGGCTTTCTTTATGTCTACACTAGGGCATGTAGGTGCTGTTGGAAAAAAAGTCACATAGAACAGATTAGTTGATTTCACTATAAATCATGAATGCCCACCTCATCTGGACAAGCTTTCCATTCTTTGAAATTAAATTTTCAAACCAAATCTCCTTTTAAGTTTCTGAAATGCCTAGCTGCCCATATCCCACTTTTCCTCTGATTCAGCAGATAACCTTGCCACATTTTTCATAAAGATAGAAGCCATAAGACAGAAATTTGCTCAACTCTCCACTTTCCAGCTGTCAAAGGACCCTTCTCTCCCCCTCCATCCTGCCTTGATCTCTCATTACAGAGGACAAAGTGCCCTCTGCCTGCCTTGAGAGAGCATCCTCTCCCCCAATCTAAGAGTAATGAACATGTGTGTAGGGATTTATGGATGTCCTTCGGTTGATCTCTTACCCCCCTCCCTCCTGCCCGCCAACCCTGCCCGGCCTTCCCGCTGCAGTTTGACAATCTGATCTTAAGGCCTTAAAATTAAGGTAGTTTTAATTCTTTCAAAAAGTAATTTTTAGCTATTTTTTCTTAATAGAAAGAGTAATATATATGGATATAATAAAAATTTCAAACAGTATAAATGAAAAGTAAATATTTCTCCCACTTTAGTTCTCCCACTGTCCATGTTACCTTTCAAGAGGCATCTACTGGAACCAAATGTTCTATATATTTTCAGCAATATTATACACATATGCATTAACTTGTTTTACACAAATGGAAGTACATTATATGTATACTGTCATTCACGTACTTTCATATTTTTCCTGAATAAATATTGAATATCTTTTTATAGCTGCACAAATATGTTTTCTCTAGATGTAAACCAGGTTTACATTAATAGATGTTTGGTTGTTTCTAGTCTTTTACTATTAAAACATTGCCACAATGATGATTCTCGCACATAAATCTTTTCACACACCCACATACATGTATATTTATAAGTATATATAAATTACAAGTCTGTAATTTATATCACATATTAATACATATGTCATAACAGATATATGTATAATTATCTATATATTGATATGGAGATATAAAACTTATGTAATTGGAATGACTTAATCATGAGCTAGGTATAGTATTTTAATAAATATTGGCCAAATGCCACTTACCCAAGTAATAACAATTTACACTCCTCCCAACAGTAGATGAGTGTTTTCCTTAGCTTTGCCAACATAAACAAAAATAGAATCCAATAAATTTAATAGTATGTTTTCCACTGAGTGGAGCACTTGTTCATGTTTTAAGCTGTTTGTTTCTTTTACTATGAACTGTATTCTTGTGCTCCATTAATTTGGTGCTTATTGGTCTTTTGCTGATTTTATGGTCTGCTTCCCACAGTGGATCCTTTTATTTCCAGTACAGATTTCACTCAGCCTCTCAGTTGCATTTGACATAGTTAATGGCTCCAGTGCTTCTTTATCAAGCACTCTTTTCTTTTGGCTTCATCGACAACCCACTCTCCATGCTCTCTAGTTGCTCTTTTCCATTCTCATTTATAGTTTATCCTCCCCTACCTGACCTTTTAAAATAATGGGTGTCTAAAAATAAGAACAATATGAAAATGTATACAACGCATACACCATCTTGTATACCATGTGTGTTCCACCTTCCGCTCCCCCTCCACTTGTTCAGTCACTTGTATTAGTTTCTTGTGCATTCTTCCAAAAATTGTTTTAGGCAATTTGAGTAAATACATATATATATATTTTTTCTTTCTTTCTTATGCAAAGGTAGCATAATTATATTATTTTCTACATAGCTTTATTATTATTAATAATGTGTTGAGGGTGTTTTCATATGAGTACACTGAGAGATTTTTCATTATTTTTATAGCTGCATATATCAATAACTTCTAAAGGCATGTGCTAAATGACTTCTAATTTTATATATATCTCAAGTCCAAATACCTCTTTTGAGTTTCAAACTCAGATCCCACAATCTATTTCATTCAATATCACTTATTCAAGAAATATTTCTGCCAATTCCATTGGCTCTATATGCTCCAAAAGCACCTTATGTTTTTTGCCTCTTACTACTGATTGTAATGATATATTAATATATATGATTATTTAATTAAATGTAATTTAATTAAATTCTCCCATTAGGTGGTAAATTGTTTGATGATAAGAACCAAATTTTGTTGTTGTTGACCATTCATATTATTCCCAACTGTTAGCATAGTTCTGGGGGGCAAAAAGGTTGTTCAACAAATGTTGAGTGAATGTATGAATAAATAAAAGTGAGTTAATAGCAGAACACTCTGTCTTTGACCTTATCTATTCTATTAACCATTCTTAAGATATATTAACCAAATTTGTAAATGATTTGAAGCTAGTAGATTTAGAGAGTGTCTTAAACGACAAAATCAGAATAAAAACTCACACTAAATGATGGGTACCTTTAACCCTCCCACCCCCAGAACCAGATAAAAGGTCTTTCACACAAAGTTGATTAATAAATGTAAAATAAAATATAATTTTATTATATTTTTTCTTGTTATCTTTTATTGATTCACTCTTAATATACCATATATTTAATATATTTGAACAATAAATACTACAAGCAAATAGTAGGAACAACCAAATTCCTTATAAAGTTATAGATTAAGAACTGATACGGGATGTCCCAAAACTGAAATAATTCTTAGTTCTTAAAGATAGTATACTAAATGTATATCTGAATGATCAAAGTTCTAGATATTATTTATCTACTTAAAAAAGTAAATAGGAATTTATGGATATCAAAGTCTCTTTTGAATGGAAGAGCATGCTGGGAAATTCCTTTATGCTAGAGAATATGCACTTCTCATTGCTGAGTGAAGAGCACAGTTGAATGCTTTAATAATTGTGTAACAAGCTACTCAGTCTTGTTTTTAGCCAGTACTTTCAGTTGGCCACAAGATAGTGCTCCATCTTTAAAGAAGGCAAATACTTCACTGAGTAATACCTGGGACCTATCCTCAAATAAATGAACCTTTTCTATTTTCCCTCCTTTTCAGCAATCTGTAAAACTCTACCGTCTAGTTGAATCACATAATAGCATTACAGTTCCTGTATGTGGGAGAAAAGGTAAGTCCCACTATTTTAGATCTATGTGTTGTCCAAATGTAATCAGAAAAGTATTGAAATTTGTATTTCTGATGGTTCCTACTACTTTCTTTTTATCTCCTTCTGTGCATTTACCTAAAGAGAGGGGAGACTGGAGATCTTTTCATCTTAAACAAACAACTTTTTTTGAGATAAAACTGATATAGAATAAAATGAACATAAACTATTCATTTTGATAGCTTTGACATATGTACATGTTAACATGAAATTATCACCAAGATAACAATAATGACTACTTATTACCCCCTAAAGTTGCGTTATGCCTGTTTGTAATCTTCTCTCTCAACTTCTTTCTGCCTATCCCTATGCGCAGGCAAGCAGCTTTCAAGTTTAGAATTTATATAAATGGTATTGTACAGTACGTATTTTTTTTGTCTTTCAAAATATATTTTGGGTTAATTTTGGGGGGGTTAAAGTTTATAGATATTTTGAAATTCACCCATTTTGTTAAGTATATCAATAGTTCTTTTCTTTTCACGCCTGAGTAGAATCCCACTGTATGAATTTGTTCACCCATTCACCTGTTGATGAAAATTTGGGTTGTTTCCAGTTTGGGGCTATTACAAATAATGCTACAATGAACATTTGGGTTCAAATCTTTGTATGGATATAAACTTTCATTTTTTTTTTAATGGGAAAATACCTCACTGTAAAATGGCTGGATCATGTGGTAGAAAATGTTTAACTTTCAAAGAAAATGCCAAACGTTTTCCAAAGTGGCTGTGCTATTTTATATGCCCACCAGCAATGATTGAGAATTCCAGTTGCTCCACATTTTTTTCCACAACACATCATCTGTGCTCTGTATTGTGTGTTCACCACCCCAAGTCAAGTGTCCTTTCACCACCATTTGTCCCCACCATACACTATACACTCCTCCACCTCCCCCACCTCCTACAATCACCACACTGCTGTCAGTGTCCGTGAGGTTTTCTATTTTTTACTCAATCTCTCCATCCCACCTACCCAGCTCCTCTTCAACCCCCCACCATAATGGCTGTCAGCCTGTTCTCTATCTCTGAGTCTGACTTACTTTGCTTGTTAGTTCATTTTGTTCATTAGATTCTATATTTGCCAACACTTGATATATCAGTCTTTTTAACCTTAGCCATTTTTTACAATTATGAGTTATATCCCATTGTCACTCTATTTTGCATTTTCCTAATGACTAATGGCATTGAACACCAATTCAGGTGCTTATTTGTTACTTCTAGATCTTTTACTTTTGTTAAAGTTAAGCTTATTAATTTTTTCTTTTGTGGATCATGCTTTCTGTCTCATAGCTAAGACATCTTTATGTAATCCAAAGATTTCCTATGTTGTCTTCTAGAAGCTTTATAGTTTTAGGTTTTACATTTAGGTATATATTGTATTTTGAGTTTTTGTAATTGAAGTTCATTTCTTACAAACAGATATTTGTTGTAAAGACTATTCTTTCTCAAATGAATTGTCTTTGCAGTTTTGTCAAAAATCAGTTGCTTATGCATAGGTGGATTTATTCATGGTTTCATTCTATTCTACTGATCTATTTGTCTGTTTTTATATCAATTCCACACAGTGTAGCTTTATAATAAGTCTTGATATAGAATAATGTTAGTCCTCCAGCTTTGTTATTCTTTTTTTCAGTGTTGTTTTTGGCAATATTGGGCCCTTTGCATTTCCATATGACTTTTAGAAACAACTTATCAATTTCTACCAAAAACCAAAACAAAACAAAACCTACAACAAACAGATGCTGAGATTTTTTTTATTGGAATTCTGTTGAATCTGTAGATTAATTTGTGGAAAATTGACATACAAATTTGGGTCTTGTGATCCATGGACATGGTACATCTCCCTATTTATTTAGGTCTTCTGTGCTTTCTCTTAGTATTTTTCAGGTTTCATTGTATGGGTCTTTCACACTCTTTTTTAAGATTTATTCTTAAGCATTTTATATTTTGATGCTGTTATAAATGATACTTTTAAATGTAAGTATCCAATTGTTCCTGTGCTAATAGTTGCTTTACATATGTGTGTTGATTACTAGTCTGCTGAATACTAAAGGAGGATCCTCTGCAGGTCTTTGTGGCTCTCTTCTGGGCAGTTGTCTCTTCTCTAATACTCTGGGCTGTGAACTCAAACCACCTTAATTTCCATAGACTTTTAAATTTTTTAATTTATTATTTTTTTCTTTATTGATTAAGGTATTACATATGTGTCCTTATCCGCCCCCCCCCAATTTCCCCCCACTCCCTTAGTGTCTATGTCTATTGGTTATGCTTATATGCATGCATACAAGTCCTTTGGTTGATCTCTCCCCCTTCCTACCACCCTCCCCTCCCTTCCCTTTGATGTTGATGTTCTGATCGATGCTTCTCTGTCTCTGGATCTGGTTTTGTTCATTACTTTATGTTGTTCATTATATTCCACAAATGAGTGAGATCATGTGATATTTATCATTCTCTGACTGGCTTATTTTGCTTAGCATAATGGTCTCCAGGTCCGTCCATGCTGTTGTAAATGAGAGGAGTTCCTTCCTTTTTACAACAGCATAGTATTCCATTGTCTAGATATACCAGTTTCCTAATCCACTCATCTGCTGATGGGCACTTAGGCTGTTTCCAAATCTTAGCTATGGTAAATTGTGCTGCTATTTACATAGGGGTGCACATATCCTTTCTGATTGGTGTTTCTGGTTTCTTGGGATAGAGTCCTATAAGAGGAATTATTGGGTCAAATGGGAGTTCCATTTTTAGTTTTTTGGAGAAACTCCATACTGTTCTCCACAGTGGCTGCGCCAGTTTGCATTCCCACCAGCAGTGCACGAGGGCTCCTTTTTCTCTGCATCCTCGCCAGCACTTGTCATTTGTTGATTTGTTGATAATAGCCATTCTGACAGGTGTGAGATGGTACCTCATTGTCATTTTGATTTGCATCTCTCAGATGATTAGTGACTTTGAGCATGGTTTCATATGTCTCTTGGCCTCTGTATGTCCTCTTTCGAAAAGTATCTATTTAGGTCCGTTGCCCCCCATAGACTTTTATATCTGTACTGAACTCAAGTATCCTCTGAACATAATCTGGGTTCCCCCTCCCTCCATAGTGTCCCGGAAACGCTCTAACGGTAGTAAAGTGAGCAATTATAGGGCACTTTTATTTGTTTCCTCTTTCTTTCTTCCTTTCTCTCTTTTCTTTTTTTGCTTATGTTCAGTGTCTAATACCATTGTTTCAAATATTTTGTATGGGTTTTTTCAGGTGGGCAGATAAAGCTGGTCCTTTTTGTTACATCTTGGCTGAAAACAAACCTTTACCTTTTAAAAATGTCCTGGGCATCTTCTTCTCTTAATTTTCTATGACAAAATATTTGAACATATACAACAATGCAGAGACTATGCTAGTGAAACCCTATGTACCTATCACCCAGATTCAATGATTATCAACTCATTGAATCTTTTTTCTGCTCTTCTACTTCCTCCTTCACCTTGGATTATTTTTGAACTATTCCAGCTGCCATGCCATTTCATTAAAAAACATTTTAATATATACCTAAAAGATAAAGACTTTCTTTCAGTTCCTTTAGCACATCTAAAATGATACTCTCATAATTTAAAAAATCATCAACTATACAGGCAGTGTTGAAATTTATCATTTGAGTCAGAAGTGTGTATGTGTGTGTGCATGCACATATATACTTATGATATATAGTCTATAAATTTTCAAATAAGAATCCAAATAAAGTCCATAAACTGCAGTTGGTTGATAAGTCTCAAGTTTATTTTGATCCATGCTTTCTCTCTTCCATACCTTATTTTTTCTTGCAATTTTTGAAAATTATATTTATTAGGTGACATTGGTAAACAAAATTATATAGGTCTTAAATGTACAATTCTATGATACATTATCTGTATGTTGCATTGTGAGCCCATTACCAAAAGTCAAATATTCTTTCCATGCATATCTTTTGATGAAAAAAAAAGTGTTTCATCCCATAATTTCTACAGTTCAGATTATATTAGTTGCATACTCATGGAATTATTTAACATAATTTTCTACTCCTTGTATTCTACTCCTTGAAATAATATAAAGGTAAAATACATTATGGAGTTCATACTGACAGTTCCAATTCATGTTTAGAAACATGAGTTTTTTATTTACCCTCTCCTTCTCCATACCTAAAGTCAGGATTCTCAGTGACAACAACAAATTACTCATTTGCTTTATCTTGTTATGCATAATAATCTCAAAATAACAAACCAACACACCCAGCAACAATATGATTCCAATCCCTTTTCTCTCTACCTTATATAGTCATTCTCTCTATAGTTATCATTTTTGCTTTTGTTTGGCTTATTCTTACATTCATAATATTTAGAGCTATATAGTATATTTACAGACTAATAGGACACATGTTTATGCTGCTGATTTCAGATAACAGGAGTGTAACATACGCACTTAATTTATATTTCCTGATATGTACATTTTACATATTTAAACTATGTTTCCCAGAAACCCTTTCTCAGAAAGAGATGTAGAGATTCTTCATTCATTGTTTCAGCTGCAAAATACTGTCTTTTGTGGCAGAGTCATTGTTTACTCCATCAGTTCTCTGTTAAAGGATTATTTTTTTCAGTTTGTTACTATGACGAACAGTGCTGTAATAAAAAAAGCCTTGTACATATGCCTTTTCATCCTTTTTTTTTGTCTGTTCATAGCTTTGCCAGTCTATCTTTGGTATAGAAGTAACATTGCTGAGTTATAGAATAAATGCATTTTCACTTTTAAGAGCTAGATATTGCCAAGTTTCTTTCGTTAGACTTTGTACCAGTTTGCATTTGCACCAGAACTGTGTGAAAGTGCCTGTTTCCTCGCAGTCTTGCCAACAGAATATACTGGCAAACATTTAGACTTTTCTAATCAGATAGGTGAACAATGTGATGTCATATATATTTCTCATTTTTTTCTTTAGGAAATAATTTAAAACTTATGGAGTTGTTGCAAGAATAGGCCATATTACCTTTTCTCCTGAGCCATTTGAGAAGTTGCTGACATGTGGCTCCATAACTCTCCATACTTTAGTGTATGATTCTTACAAATCAGGACGTTCTTCAATATAAATGACAGTATAAACATTAATAACAGAAAATGAACATTGACATATTAATACCAACAAATGCTCAGACCTAGACAAATTGCTCCAATGGTTTCTTGTTCTTTATAGGAAAGGACTTGTGAGTGCACAATAGTGTTATTTGCAATATCTCTTTAATCTTCTTCACTTTTTCTTGGACCTTGACTCTTTGATCTGGTTATTTTGTAGAATGTCCCTCAGTGTAGATTTGTTTGATGTTCCCCCATAGTTAAATTCAGGTTATGCATTTTTTAGCTGGCACGTTATAGAAGTAATGCTGAGTTCTCACGGCTTCTTTTCATGTGGTACATGCTTTAAATTTGTCCTATTACTACTGAAATTAGTGTGGATTACTTAATTAAATGGTGTCTGCCAGGTTTTTCTATTGTAAATTTACTTCTTTCTCTTTGAAATTAGTAGTTATTGTTAAGAGATACTTTGAGACTATATATCATCCTCATCAAATTTTTACCCACTAGTTCTAGTATCCATTGATGTCCCTTGGCTAGATTAAATATTGCTTCAATAATTAAATGGTGATTTTCTAATTTTATCTTTCCTTCTACATTAATGGATTGCCATTTACATCCATATTACTTCTCCATCTGTCTATTGAAAACCATCAATTTATACTGTTGCCTTCAATTCTATGGAGACCACAGAGTTCATTCCGGTTATATTTATAACTCCTTTGCCTCAGTGAGAAATCTGCCTCCCACAAGGCTCTTTATGTCTAATTATTGTGTCAGTCTCACCTGTATGTAACGCATCATCAGTCACTGCTGATGTCTCCCGGCACTCGCATGCTAGGACTTCAATATCTGTCACTAGGCCACTGCCATTCTGGGGCCCTTTTCTTCCTACACGGGCTCTGACACCCTGCACCAGGCCATCCTTCTCAGGTTCCAACATCCACATAAGCTACCCCCCCCCACCCCCCTCACCCAGACTCCTGGATGGGTATCTATCTTGCTTAAGCCCTTATAGCTTTGGGACTAAATAAGGGAAGAAAGAAGTAAAGAAAGGCAGGAAAGCAGGAAGGAAAGAAGGAAGAAATTTTCATTTTTCTAGTAAGAATGAGCATCTTTTCAAATGTTTAACATGCCCCTTATAATTTCTGTGTGTATGTGTGTGGTGGAGGGGGGACTATCTGTTAACATCTCCTATCAATTTTGCTTTACATCTCTTTTTTTAAAAGGAATTCTATGTATTAGGAATATTAATCTTTGTCTATACTTTAAGTTTCAAACATGTTTTCTGAATTTCTTATTCACTTTTTCTTTATTTTTTTGCCTCACAAAGGTTTTTTATTTTTATTTTTGGTGATTGAATGTATTGCCTTTTTTCTTATTGTTTCTGGATTTTTAAATCAATGTTAAGAATAACTTTTTAAAAAGTGCTCTGATTGCTTTCTTAATTGATTTCTAATTTAGGCAGATGTTGGACTATGTTTTTGTGGGAAAAAGAACTGACTCGACTCTGTCTTCTCACACTTGCAGCTGGAGTCGAAGAGCTGGAATCACGCTTTCTCGTCCCCGGAGATCTATTAATTTTGACAGGGAACAGAGTGCAAATGCCATGTGATGCCATTCTGCTTGATGGCAGCTGTGTGGTGAATGAAGGCATGCTGACAGGTGTGGTTCTGTCTCCCTTCAGCTTCCCTAGTGCTCGCAGGCTCCCTTACCTGAATGAGGAGGGCAAAGTGTGGGGCAGCTGTGGGCCCTCCCCATCCCCACAAATCCCATGAACAGTTCTGCCCTGGATGTATCCGAGAGTTCAGTGCAAAGCTGCTTTCTGTATACTGATTTTTATATGGCGGTCACTTTTTGAGTCCTGAGTATTTCCTTCTTGAACCAAGGGTTCTTACAACCCTGTCATTTATTTAAAATATCGTAGAGATCATTAGACATTTCAGAATTATCTGTGGTTCTCATATTTAGTATTTTTATATAAAATTTGTCTTCAGATAAACTCGGAGGGTTTAAAAACATTTAAGAACATCCTGAAACCCACAGACTTAAGTGCAAGCT